CGGTAGCGAGGTGATGACTGCCGAGACCTGCGTTTCATTCAGCTAAAAACACCTCTCGCCTCGATAATATATAACATGTACGACTATACGTTGGATTGTTAGCCTTTCGCCAGACCGACCCCATGCTCACTAAAAAGTGATTATTTCCTAAGCTATTTGACCGATTTTAGTGACATTTTGCATGCATCTCGGCAGATTGTTACGCTATAGCAAAACGGCATTGGGAACACTCTCGATGACTTCATCAGATTAATTAAGACTTAATTCCTACGGACATTTTGTCTTTTCCCGACCGACCCCATGCTCACTTAAAGTCAATATTTCAGAAACTATTCGACCGATTTTCATCAAATTTTGCATGTACCTCAGTAGTAGTATACACAATGGGGCTACGGGTTTTGGGACTTCCTGGGGGGACCTGGTCCCGTAGCCCCATTGTGTATACTACTACTCTGATTGTGTTCTACTTCAAATACTACATGCATTATTTTAATCACTGCAGTACCTTCAGTGAGTTCAAGGATGTTGATGCTTAATGCTGCAGTCAAACAATAATCCAGCTGTATCACAACAGCCTGAAAATACTTGAGTCTGGGCTAACAAAATCTGTCTGTCCATGCATGCACGCGCCCATGCGCACACACATGAAAGGTCGGTGAGGTAGCCCAGTGGTTAAAGCATTTGCTTGTCACCCTGAAGACACAGGTTCGATTCCCCACATGGGTACAATGTGTGGCGCCCATTTCTGGTGTCCCCCACCGTGATATTGCTGAATATTGCTAAAAATCTGCATAAAAACATAATCACTCACTCACGCACACGCTTGTACTGGTCCAAACAGACTGTCTGTTTCACAGTCCCAGCCTTCTGAGATTCATGCCATAGTTCAATACACAAATAGCTGACCAATCCTTGTTGCATCTCCTTCATGCCAAGGGCCATGCAGGTAATAACAAGTACCATCTCTTTACATCATTTCATGTAGCGAAAATTGAATCAACTCTCTGAGCAGACCGACTAACGGGATCGGGTGGTCAGGCTCGCTGACTTGGTTGACACATGTCATCGATGCCCAATTGCGCAGATCGATGCTCATGCTGTTGATCACTGGATTCTCTGGTCCAGACTTGATTATTTACAGACCGCCATATAGCTGGAATATTGCTGAGTGTGGCATAAAACTAAACTCACTCACTCACTATGAGCAGACACTCAGTGGTGGAAAGCAAGCTAAGTCATTAAAGTCACAGGTTCCGACTATCCAATTCATTTTAGATCACTAAATGGTGACCAGCATAGGATTCTGGGAAGTTTTTCACTGGTGTCCCTAAAGGGCAACTCAAAGAACATCCTTAATTATCTAGTGAATCACACCATGTTTTCCTTTATAATGAATATCCTGGACCCATTCACCACCAGAGCTTCATTTGAGTGCATTTCGACTGACAACAGCAGTCAAATCGAATCACACAACACTGGTTACAGGAACTCTATATAGGGTAGTAACAATGCAGTAGACTGTTAGTATCATGTACCATCCATCTAAAATACACCTCCAAACTGCTAGTGGCTAAAAGGCTTCCCTCCCAATCTCTACAAGAAAGCAAATCTCAAGATGTCCATTCTGATTCATAGTATCCTCCTCAATCTAAAACATATCAGTGGCTTGGCTTAATGAGGGAACGATTTGTAACGTGGACCTATGCCAAACTCTCATTTGAGTAGAGTCATTTGGACTGGTTGCTGTGTTCAAGCTTAACAGCAGCAGAAATTCTGTGCTTGGTTATCGAAACTGGAGAAGGAAATTGTGACATCACCACTGCATCAAGCTTATGCTGAGTATAGGTCAAGGCTAAGTAGATCCAAATGGCATCAAGACAGAATAATACATTGGATAATTGATATGAAGAAGAGAGAAGGATGACCTGTACATATAATAGCTTTGATACAAGTGTGAGATGAACGTTAAACTATGTTTTTTGATCTTGGACTTTTTAGTTTATTGTCAGTATCAGTTTGCTCAGTTGTTTGTGTACTAAGGTGTCAGTTTATACAGATGTTAGAGTATTTGTTATATTGGAATGCTAACTTACATCTGGCATACTTTGGTGTCAGATTCTGCATGAGTAATTAATACAGTATTTTAAAGGTGCTGATTAATAAGGTTCCCCTTTACTCGAGTGGTGGATTATTCATAACGGTCAGTTTACACAATAGCTTTATCAGTTTAAGTTTATGCATGTATTAACTGTTGGGAGTATAAAGCCGGCAGTTAATAAGGTGATGGGAGTATCATGGTTCCAGTTTACATAGAAAATGAGAATATCAGGATGTAAGTTTACAAAAGCATTGTGAGTAGAATTGTGCCATGTAATGATGTACTAGATTGCTAAGGTGTCAATTTACCCAGATTACTGAGCACTCTGTCACTCTGTTCAGATGTTGGATTGACAAGGTGTCAGTATACACAGGTTTGGGCACACTTAAACCTCAGTTTATGCATGGGTAATATTATTTTTATGTGCTGGAGGACTGAGGTTTCAGTTTACTCAGATGGTGGGTTATTCAGGTGGGTCAGTTTACACAGATGTAAGGTAAGCTTAAGTTGGCACACATACTGGATTACTAACATGTCAGTTTACTCAGGTGTTGATTATCGAAATGTCAGTTTGCCAAGGCACCGGATCACTAAGGCATCAGTTTACTTGCCGGTGGTAAGTGTTTTGGAGATCCAGGAGCCAGTTTCTTCAGGTGTTGGGACTATCAAGGTGCTAGTATAGTCATTATCAAAGAGCCAGTCAAGACAGGTGTTGGTAGTATAAAGGTGTCATAATTTGAAGGTGTCAGTATACTCAGGTGTTGTGAGTATCAAGGCTTCATTATACTCAGGTTTGGGGAATATGAAGGTGCTAGTTTATTCAGTTGTTGGAATATCCAGGTGCTAGTTTACCCAAGTGTTGGTGTATGTATCATGGTGCCAGTTTACTCAGGTGTTGCATCACTATGATGTAGTTCACACTAGTTGCCTTGTATTTTCTTCAAACCATTTGAATATTACGCCATCCTATATAGCAACAAAGGACATTAAATAACTAAATTTCAAACAATATGTGACCATTCAAGAAATCATGATCTCTGTTACTCATGTTTCTATCAATAAATTCAGAAATGTAACAAGAAGACAAAGTCATCAATATCTCCCGCAATGGCAAAATACTCTTCATGAATATGTCTACGAGTTATGATTATGTCAAATGTTTTGGTGTGTATATAGAAAAGTGGAAGGAGAGTATTGAAAGGTTTTAAAAGTTCTGCTCCAGAAAGGAGCACTACCACCAGTTTCAGTCTGAGTCAAACTTGTTGCCATGGAAACGCCAACAATTATTTCATTCAGAAATCCAAAACTACCAAAAGGCACCAGTACACCACTAGACCAATCTATGTGCCAAGTTTGGTGAAGAAATAGTGAACAGTTTTAGAGTTCTGCTACGGAAAAGAGCACTACCACCAATTTCAGTCTAAATCAAACTTGTTGCCATGGAAACGCCAAAAATATTTCATTCAGAAATCCAAAACTACCAAAAGGCACCAGTATACCACCAGTTCTATCCATGTGCCATGTTTGGTGAAAAAATACTGAACAGTTTTAAAATTCTGCTCCTGAAAAGACAAATGTGCATGGATGCATGCACGCACAGACGGAGTCCATTTTAATACCCACGCAAAACCCATTGCAGGATAAAAACATCCCATTGCAACTGTGCCCACAGACACAAACATTCAGCATTCTAAAGAGACATCTACGGAAACCCAGTATAATTATTTTGTCTGCTGCTTCCTGCTTTGTGTCATAACTTACATGTCACCTCCTACATCAGACACAACTTCGCCAGATGATGGCAAGCATGCATAGGATTGTTAGCTTGGGAGTGATTTCTGATGCACTGTTAAAGTACTAAAGGACGTAACTCTGATTGTCTTCTAATCTCAGCTTCAGGCCGTGCCAGTCGAAAGACATTTTGCAAAGATGATGCATTAAACTGCAGGTTTGTTCAGATTAATTGAGGACATAGTTGGGTCAGCCTGACATACATTAAGTCAGTTTTAGGAGGAAGGGGAATATGTGTCGCCATTAGTTGATCTTGACACTGGGTCATTCACAACCGTCTTCTGGTAAGTTAAAAAACACAGTGATGGCAAAAACACAGGCAAATAATGAGAAAAAAGACGTATGTGACCTTGGTAGAAATTTAGATCCATATAATTAACTCTGATCAAAATACATTGTGACTACTTGAAAATATTTGCATTAGGCTTTTCTGTCAATCTAACAAATAGGAATGTTTACATGACCGTGCTCAGTGTAGATCTGTAAATCCATGTAGTTTTCGATAAAAGGTTCATTGTGACAACTTCTTTAAACTATTTAAATGAAACATCATGTCAATCTGATGTGTATGACCTTGTATGAGATGTATGTCAATCTAACAGACTGAGATTAAAATTCATTGCCACTTCTTGAAATGATTCAAATAATACTTCTGTGTTTGTCATGGTATCCTGTTCAAATTTGAAAACCCATTGCTGTTTTTGAACTGTAAATAGCATCTAAGGAGATTTTGCATGAGAGGGACATCATTACAAGATGATATTTCAGGGCTATTGCGCCTTCATCAGCCCTTTTCACATAAAGGTCAAGAAGTGGTCACTGATTATTTGGAGGACCCATCACAAATCTCTTTCAAGACATCCCATAAAACCCTTTTTTTTCCCATCTTCTGAAACAATCTTTTCACTAAAAAAACCCATTAGACCCTGCAGAGTGAGTGAGTGAGTGAGTGAGTCTTGTGTTACACTTGTGTCTGAGAACGTGAGAAATTACACATACTGTCAGGGATTTGATTTAAACGATGTACCTGTACACTGTGGACTGCAGGGCCTTCTGAAATGTCAATCTACAGTAATAATCAAGTCCAAGTTCTAGACCATCCTGTCCGTACCTTTACACTGCATTCCTTGTCTGAAAAGGCCTTTGAGTAGTCGCTTGCACCACTGGCATACAGTGGGGCGTGTGTAGTTGTGGACGATGAACGTGTGAGGCACCTTGATGCGTTTGGCGAACTCCCTCTCCTGCCACATGGGGCGCCCACTCCAGGACTTGGACCGACCACTCCCTGGGGAAGGGGGAGCAGTAGGACTCGGCACATTCAGGAGGTTCTGTGACAAATACAGGGACAATGAAGAGTGAAGTAAATAGTCACTATCAGAAGTAGGACTTGGCACATTCAGGAGGTTCTGTGACAAATACAGGGACAATGAAGAGTGAAGTAAATAGTCACTATCAGAAGTAGGACTTGGCACATTCAGGGGTTTCGAGAGTTGAACGTAATGAAACATCAATATTGGAAACTAATTAGCACATATAGAAGGCTCTGTGACAAATGACATTGATGAGACCTCTAGAGTTGAACATTATGAAAAGTAGATAAAGGAAACTATTTAGCACATTCAGGAGGGTCAATGACTAAACATAATTTCCGTTCACATATCACTCAGTCATGGACTTCAGACTTCATATGTCTTTTAAGAGTACTAAACCATATTCCATCACTTACAGCAGCAACAATCTCAAGGAGACGAAGGTCACACACAATAACTACTTTGCTGAAACCAAGCAGCATCAATAGGTGCTGACACAACAATGATCATGTCATGGATTCCAAACCGATCCTCAGCAGATGGCTCATATCAACAACTAAAGCTTTCTGATCCTGATCAATCTAAACATTTTTGTGTCTTACAACAAACATGTGGTGTCATGTACCCTTTTTTTCTGACCATAAGATTCTGAATGCTGAAATATATTCTTGGGGTCACAGTGCATTTAAAAAGGTTCTCATGCAAATTGATTTCATGTTTCAGAGGATTTCCCTTACATCTTTATCATTCAGGGCTGGCTCCGGTAAAGGCAAGGTGAAGGACACATTGGATGACACACTCCCCGAGGACTGGCGTCGATAGCGTTGATGATTACAGTTGTTCGGGATCTTGTAGGCACAGCGCTTGTGGAAATTTTGTCCACAACCTAAAATATACATTCAGATAAGGCTTCATGAACTTTCAACGGTTACTTAGATTATTTCTACAGACATCTTCATTTTAAATGTAAATATTCCTGCCAAAACTGGTGAACTAGGGTTATATTTCTGTTTAACTCTCTATTTTAATATTTGTGTCAGATTAAACTGACCTTCACACATGCCTATGTCAGACCTACCTTCACACTTGTGTTCCTGTTTTCCCATGTTTTAACTTACAATCTTTCTTGAGTTCCTGCTTAGGGGCCATTCATAATTTATGGCTAGGGGGGTGATGATGATTTCTATGGAGTAGCATAATTTTTAAGCACAATTTTAAAATATTTTTATGTACAAAATTGCTGACACCACTCAACCCACCCGCATGCGCACACACACACACCATAAATTATGAACGGTCCCTTACTAATATTTGGTCCTATCTGAACTCTTGCCCATGTCTACACCTACCTTCACACTTGAGTCCCTGTTTTACAAGTCCAAACAGCATCTCCCCACAGAAGTCACAGAAGTGAGGTGACTTGTAGGAATGAACAAACAGCAAGTGGGGTCGGATCTGGAGCTCCTCCATCGTGGCTTGGGCTGAAACGTTAAAGACAGACATGAGTATAAGGCCTGCATCCAAAGAAATACTATTCCTCTGCATTGACAAAAACAAATGGAAAAGTTTACTTTTTTCACCCTAAAACTGGAAGCAACAACTGATCTGCTAGAAAAGAAACCATCTTCACAATATTATACAAAATTTTGCAAATGAACAAGATTCACTGAAGTGAACATTTTCTCAAAAGAAACAAGATGGAAACCACTTCCCATCCCCATTTAGGGTTCAGATTCAATGGCAACAAATTATCAGCCTCAGTTAGGACACAGAGACAAGATGGATCCTACTGCATTGCTTCTTTTAGCACACAAAATGGAAACCAGTTCCATATCTGTTCAGTATACAGTCAAGGTGGAAACGTCACACATTTTTGGACAAAAAATTGTCACTGGTTCCCCATCTTTTCAAGAGATAGTCAAGGTGGAAACAATGTCACACATTTTTGGACATAAAATGGTCACTGATTCCCCGTCTTTTTAGGATACAGTTAAGGTAAAAACAACTTCACACCTTTTAAAAAAAAAAAAAAATGGTCCCTGGTTTCCTATCTTTTCAGGATACAGTTAAGGTTGAAACAACTTCCAGCCTCTCCTTTTTACAGAAATGGCTGACACTTGTGCTGTGACTACATGGCAAAACAGAACTGAATTCTGAAATGATGTTAGACGTTATGATCTTATCCAAAAGTGACATCTTTGACTTGACCAATGAAAATAACTGCTCATGTGTATACAAAAGAAGGGGCTGGCAGTGGGGTACCCCAGTAGGACAATGGACAAGAATATACGGACTTGATTATCAACCAAAAAAGTCCATTTGGTGAAAAGGGTGTAATGGTTGTGAAGACTTTATGAATGGTACATGGAGAATCAGTGATGAGACCTGGTGTTTACAAACATGGTAAGCACATCCTGCCCTACTTGGTAGCGTGTACTATTCACACAGTTTGCATTAAATTATAAGTATCCATTGCCTGACACCACACAGCAGGATTCCTGCCATGTGACGGCAGTCTCTAAACAAACCAGACAGTCAAGTGATCAATGGACCAGAAATTCCAGTGACAAAATTTACTGAGAAAGCAAGATGTTAATTCTGAACTACATCTGCTATATAATAGTGCAGAGAAAAACCTTAAAGAAATACTGGTACATTTGTTATGCAGTAAAGTGGAGAGCAGATTTGTCCCAGCTCAAATTCCTTTTGAGTTGTTATCACATGCAAGGTATGACAAAATACACTGACATTGATAAAACAATTGTGCACGCATCAACCTTCCTTCAGTATACAAAGTATCCAATGTCCAACTTTGTACCAGATGATACACTCAACACATTAACGTCTGAGTTCCTGTCAATGTGTCAATGATTAGCAACAATCAAGCTCAAGCTTTGCCACCATTGTCACTAAAGGTTTCTTCTGATCAGACAAGAACCTGGACTGGACTGTGAATTAATCAATGCCAGACCAGTATTTACATCACATATATCCATCTGTGCATATTACTACTGACAAGAAACCAAGCATATCGTATTTTGAAATTCTGAAAACAACAACACAATTTCCAACACTTTTTAAGCGAAATAAATAAGAAACATGCCAACAATGTTATTTTAACAAGAACTACTAATAACAATGTTATTACCACATAATTTTTTTCAATATTATTTTCACATCCAGTGTATAAATGAGCTACATACCAGTAGTACATTATTGTTGCAACAGAGGCAAGCAGACGTCTTTCCAGGGAAAGAATTTTCTGTCACAAGATTTAGGCATGAAGTCGTAACCTGTGACAATTTGACATGTTTGGTAAAAAAGGGAAATAATGTATGTGTTTAACTACATTACAAATGAATGCACTTGAGTTGCACGGTTACACTCAAGTCAGTCATAGACGATCCAGGCACAAACATAACTGACATGTGCTTAATACTGGGTCTGTTATCTCTCTGTTTGACCTGGAGGTTTTCATTCTTTATTCAAGACAAATCTGTCCACAAACATTGAGCTAAACACTACCTGTAATAGGGCTGATAATGCTCCTCCACAACAAGTGGGTGGTCAGGTCTGTCTCTTGATTACAAAGTAGATGTAGTCTGCAGATGAACACAAGCGTCAACCAACTGGGCCATATAGAGGTCATTGAGTGACCTTGTCACATTCTGCTAGAGCTCAGAGGGGCAATCTCACCTGGCTGTGACAAGCTCATTACCAGAGAGTGTGAACTCTGAAGCTGCAACATTTCCATTTTCTCACTTGTTTCATATATCCTTTACCCTGAACTAAAACTTCATAATGGCAAACTTTGAAACATATGTATATAAAGCATTTTAAAGTTTGTTATGTTATCTTGGATCATTACCATTTCTTCATGCTTCAAATTTGATTTCCCTGGTAAATGTTTGATTGAAGAAAAGGGTCTAACTGAATTATTTTTACAAGTATTGGTATACTATATTCAACAAGTTCAAGGTAACTGCTAGATACTCTTAAAATTCCTATTCTTCGTATTGGCCAGATCCACACAAACTTTAACAATATTGGTCAGCACATAATAGGCTTACTGCAAAAGTACTGGCAAACTGTTGACTTATTGCAAAAGTATTTGCGAACATTAAACTTACTGCGAAAGTACTAACAACATACAGGCTTACTGCAACAATATTGATGAGATATAGATGTACTGTAACGATACTGGTCAGTTCATTATACACTTACTGTGATGGTCAGCATTGCAAACCATTAGAAATAAACACCAGTACCATAAACTATAGTTTCAGAAACCAGTATCTGGTGAATCAAAGGCTACAGAATCACATTAAGATGTCCTCTTACAAATGCCACCTTACAGCACAGTCAAATATAATGGTCATCTGTGGAGACATTAGAAGCTTGTACTCTGAAGACATACTCTATGGAGCACTACTATCAAGCACAATTGATTTTTCTCAGAGGGTACCAGTATCTTCATTTGTTTGAGTCTGTTCCCATCAAAATGACCTGAATCACCGTGTTTCTGGACAAATGAAAGATGCAATGAAATCAAAATATCACAGAGCAAACAATGACTGTGAGAGACTGTGAAGCAGCATGGGGCAGCCCAACATCAGCTGTTATCTTGTTCACTTTACAGTGTCTGTACAGTACAGATTATCTTTCAATTAGTTCTCATATTATCACGGTTCAAACATACATTGAATGCTAAATTAAAGAATTTTCAAGGCTTTTTAATGATTCCAACTGTTGTTTTCAAGGCTTTTTACTTGGGTTATTAGTCGCCGGCTGTCATTATTGTTCTTTTTTTTTAATCCAGCCAACTAAATTTTTGTTGTAAGACAAAACAACAAAATGAATGTTAATGCAAGATACATTTTCACAGCCAGTATATAAAATAAAACAAAGTCATGTACTTTAAATCTTATATTAACAAATATCTGTTATTTTGTACAAGAAATGTTGGTGATTTTGAAGGCTTTTCAAGATTGACATGGCTTTTCAAGGGGAACCTTAAAATTCATTGCCAATTCAAGATTGAACGAACTTTGAATATGAAAGGGACATGGGAGGCCCTCGTCGTCATAACCCCTTAACTTGTGGGGTTTGGGAGGTTGGAGCCGGTGGGGTGGGGTGGGGTGGGGTGGGGTTTGAATCCTGATTTGACCTGATTGTTTATCATGCTGTATCAGTGCCAGCTCGTAGGAATTCATCTGTGTTAATCATAATAGCCGCACACAGTGTACTTTGAGTGAGTGAGGGAGTTCAGGTTTATGCTGCTTTTAGCAATATCACAGCGGGGGACACCTGAAATGAGCTTCACACACTGTACCCATGTGGAGAATCGAACCCAGGTCTTCGGCATGACAAGCAAAAGCTTTAATCACTAGGCTACCCTCCCGCCTGGTCTTATATCAAAGCCAGAGTAATATAAATATTGAACAAATACAAGACAATATATAATTACATACTGAGAATGTACAGGCTTGACAAACAAATGTGATGAGTAAGTTGGGTTCATAGCTGCTTTGAATAATATTTCAGCTACATTACTCCATCTCAGCTTATAGTAAGAGGAAAGTCAGATGCAAATCTTCGATATAAAACACTTCACAGAAACCCATGAGCACGTAATGCTTCTGACAAACCCAGGTAACAAAATCAAGGCGAAATAGGATTCAAACACACACTCACAGCTTTCTGGCTTAACAAAGGAATAGAATTTGACACTGTGAATTCGGGTGACTTAAACAAATTATTTAACAGCAATCATGTCTTCAAAAGAGACATTGTTAACAAGATTGTATAAAAGAACATGACTCAACCATCATGCTACTAGAATTATTAAGTCATTAAAAAATATCAGGTGTGTGTTTGTATCAAAACTATTGTTGTTTTTTGTGAGGGGTTTGGTCTTGATTTCTTAAATAGGAAGAAGAATCAATCCATTTCTGCTCACAACATGTTGCTCTGTTATATTCAGCCATGATATTCATTTTACCGGTAACCATGGCAATATATCATTTGTAAATAAGACAGTTGCAGACATAGTAATAGTTTGTCATTGGCATTGTGATATAATCGATTTGTTCTGATATATTTCATACCGACTGTTTTTTCTTTTTAGGTCGATCTTGTTGTTTTGAGTTAAACATCTACCATTAATTAAAAACATGTGATATTCCAAATAAGAACTTGAATTTTTACAAATGTAATGGCTTAAAATACTTAAACACTGTACACTGCAGTTGAATCAATTTCTAAACATGGATAAAAATGCTAAAAAAAACTTCATGTATATCACTTGTCAGATTATGTTATGACAGAAAAATACAAGTGATAAAATGTAGGTCCTATACAGCACAGCATCGCATCTTCAAACAACAACAATATACTCTAGAAACAAAACAAACATAAATAAACCCATCAAAATATTTGACTCCACGACCTTTGACCTTCATATGTGCCATGAACCTTATGC